CTCTTTCCAACTTTCTACATCCTAAACAGAAACCAGAAGTCTGCAGCTAGAGTGCTGCAAGGATCAACTACTTATATATTGAAAGTCCCAAGAATTAAGACATGTAGGAGTAGAGAAAGTAACAGGAAGCTAGGATCTAAAGTTGTCAAATAAAGGGATTCCTCAAAATGCTTAACATAGATTATCATATGACCGAGCAGTTCTACTACTAGGTATATAACCAAAAAGCAGGGATTCAAACAGATATTTTTACACCAATGTTCATTGCAGCATTATACACAATAGCCAAAAGGTGGAGACAACCCAAAAGTCAATCAGCCAATGAATGGATAAACAAAATGTGGCATATAAGTACAATGAAATATTATTCAGCCATAGCAAGGAATGAAATTCTGATACTTGCTACAACTGAAATAACCTTGAAGACATTATGCTAAGTGAAATAACACAGGCAAAAGGACAAATATTATAAGACTTCACTCACATGAAATATTGAGAATAAGCAATTTCATAGAGACAGAGGGTGGATTAGAAGCTGCTCGAGGCTGGAAGGAGAGGGAAATGGGGAGTTATTGCTTAATGATTACAAAGTTTCTGTTTAAGATGGCTAAAAAGTTTTGAAAATAGACAGTGGTAATAGATGCACAACATTGTGAATATAATTAATGCCACTGAATTGTATATTTTAAATGGTTAAATGGCAAATTTTAAGATATATATATATAAAACCACAATTTTAAGAATTAATAGCTACATATCAAGAACCATTGAACTGTACATTTTAAATGGGTGAATTGCATGATATATAAATTATATCTCAATAAAGTGGTTTAAAAAAAATGAAACAAAGGGGACTGTCCCAGTGGTCGCAGTAGATGCAGCAACAGTGAGGTGGTGAGTGATCTAGTGGGGTGACATGAGACGCAAAGCTGGGGGTTGGGGAATGGGGGTGGGGGGAATACTCTGTCGCTTCATTACCTAGAAAACTCACCACATAGAAACCTCTGACCTTAGACCACATCTAAATGACCGAACTATAACCAGAAAGATTTGGTGGGAGCCTCATAAAAGTCTCTTCTCACTCTAAGAGTTCACTCGAAGTTCACTCTAAGTCCAAAGCTCAGAAAATCAAAAAAGGTACAATTACCCCTTTCCCACCTGCCCTACTTCAGGGAAATCCCATTCCCACACGTGTCATTCTTCACTGGAAGGCAGGGGACAGGGCTGCCCAGATCCCACATCACAGGGTAGGAGTAGCAAAAGAGCCCACTGCCCCTCCACTCTCACCACTTACCACCACCAATGGAGTCCCCAGTGTTTCAGTTCAGTGAGTCATTCAACTCCAAATCCTACTTTGTGGGTCTAATTTACAAGGTCACTCCCAAATCCTAGTGCCACTCCCAACTGTCAGCCTGAGCTCCCAGAGGGGAGAAGTTATGTCCTACCACTGTCTTAGAGATCAAAATACTTGAGAAGGGGGTAGCAGGTGGTGTGAAGGGAGAAAAGAGGAGTGTTGAGGAGAAGCACAATACAAAGGTGCGTGGCTGAACAGGAAACCTCTTGGCCTCAGGCACAACTGATTGCTCAGACTATCTTCCAAGAACTCTAGTGCCTCAAAGAATAACTTATTTATCAACTAGATTCCATCTCCTACTAATCAATAGATTTCCCTAAAAGGCTTGAATTCCCCTACATTTCTGCATCATACCCTAGATCTCAGCAGCAGCAGTGGAGTCCAGTGGTGGAGGCAAAAGCTGTATCATGCAGGCATGAGGCAAGGTGCTGTCAGGGGGTGCCCAAGATGGTACAAGGCCACGCAGAACTGGTCTCCACAGAGCAGGTGGAGAAGAACAAGTGGCCAAGGTCCATGGATTTTTTAAAATATTTATTTATTTATCTATTTATTTATTTATTTGGCTGCACCAGGTCTTAGTTGCGGCATGCAGGATCTTTAGTTGCAGCATGTATGAGGGATCTAGTTCCCTGACCAGGGATCAAACCTGGGCCCCCTGCATTGGGAGCATGGAGTCTTAGCCACTGGACCACCAGGGAAGTCCCAAGGTCCATGGATTACATGAGGCCAAGGGGATCTGTGGTGACACACAAGAGGTGTCTGATACAGCAACATTTTTGTGATCACTTTCCATGCTATTTAATGGTTGCACAGAATGGTTGTACTAATGAATTATAATTTACTTACTATGATATGCAGAATAATGTTCCCACCCACTCAAAGCTGCCCACATCTTAATCTCTAGATTTACAACCCTTTCATATGTATTGCCTTCCAAAAAGATAGCAGCAGTTTGAAATACCATCAGCACATGAGAATTTCCAACAACAGAGAGTATTTTTTGTGTGTTTTTCAATTTTTAGTAATTTGACAGGCAAAAATAGTACCTAAATGTTTTAAATTGAATTTTTATTACAGATAACTTGTGCTATGTAAGTATGCATTCCTCCATAGGTGAGGAATATAGGAGCCATTTTTATTTCTTCTTTTGTAAATTACTTGTTCAAATTCTCTGACCATTTTTCTTTTCAGGTGTTCATCTTTTCTTATTGCTTTATAAAAATATCCATTTGTGTCACATAGATTGACAATGTTTGCAATTTGGCTTTGTGTTTGCTGTGTTAAGGTACAGAAACTTCCATTTTTCATCATTGAATCTATCAATCTTTTACAAATTCTGCCTTTGATGTCATATCTCAAAGTCCCTTTCTCATTTCTACATGTGTGTGAATATCTGTATCTTCATTTAGTGCTTTTATAGTTGAATGGTGTGCTTTAAGAATCTAACTTCAGTTTTCCCTTGATGATTACCCAGCAATCTCAACAATGAATGCATCAAATATCTGTCCTTTCCCCCACTAGAATAGGTTTAAAGATGCTATTTCAAAATAATTTCTGATACAGACTTGAATTCTCAGATTTTTAAAATAAACTCATATTTGAAAGTGAAAAAGTTGCCAAAGAAGAGCAATTTTCTATTTAATGCTCTTAATTTAAAATAGTCCCCATGGCTGATTTGCTTCGTTGTGCAACAGAAACTAACACGTTATTGTGAGGCAATTATGCTCCAATAAAGATGTATTAAAAATAATAATAATAAATAAAAATGAAACCGTCCTCATGGCTTCACATTTACCCTTTAAGGTAGGAAAGGTCTAACCCTGAAGGAAATGTGAAACAAATAAGTAACCACACCATCTCTAAAATAAAGCTATGTTTTCCAGTAATAAAATACCGAACTCTTTAGCCACATAGCAGAGAAAGATAAAAAGAAAAAACCCACATCCTTTGTGTTTCATTATATATTACTAAGTCAGTACCTGAAACTAAATAGTCTCCATATGTGAGTAACAGAAGCCATGAAAATTCCTTTCCTTTTCTCTTTTCCCACTGGCATGTGTCTCCTTCTAATTTCTGGAGGTAAGACATATTTCCATATGCTTTTTAGTTTTGCTTATAAGAAAATAGAATTTTATATTGCTTTAATTTTTGTTTAATATTGTGTAAAAGGGAAAAAGAAATCACAACTTAATTTCCAATAATTTTTCATGTTATGTTTTTTCTTTGCTATCTAAATGGTATATTGGCTTTTTAAGATGAAAACATACTCTATTGTGTCTACAGCAAAAATATGAAAGCATTAACTATATCTGGAGGTTATCATAAATTCAGGTCAGATCTACAGAGCTCAACCTTCAAGTGAAAAACCAACAAAGCCATTAAATTGGGAATGGATAGATTACTTATTAACTGGAGGGCTCAGTCATACAGATACAACTGAGTAGTCATAGCTCTCAGATAAATCTTAAAACTTTGGTTTTCAGAAGGTATTTGTGAGTGCCTATTTCCAGCAGTGGGGGTGGTGAAGAAAGCAATAACATCAATGTAAAATACTCTAATGAACTGTGTGTGTGTGTGTGTGTGTGTGTGTGTGTGTGTGTGTGCGTGCACGTGCCAAACACTGCATAAAACTTACAATGGAGTATAGCAGTATTCTATGTATAGCAGTATTCTATTCTACTTACGATACTCTTCGTAAGTATCATTGTTATCAGCCTATTTTATATATGAGGAAACCAAGGCACAGAGAGTTTAAGTTCATTTACTAAAGTCATCAACTTGTAAGTAGTAGGGCTGGGATTTGAACCCAGAGTTCAGGTTCTTAATCACACACTATGATATATTATAGCTCAATGATACCTTCAGAGCTGGGATTCTTAATGTGGGATCCATGAGCTCCTTCAAGGCCATGGATGGGCATCAAGAAGTCTGTGACTCTCCCCAAACTGTATACAAATATTTACATGCATCTGTGTGTCTGTACTAGATCAGATTCTCAAATGGCTCTATATTTCAAAACTAACAAAGGTACAGAGCCACTACTTTAGGCAAACAGTACATCACAATGGAAAGAGTATGATTTTTCATGATGTGGAACTGTATTAGAAGACTGCTTTGCTATTTATTAGTTGTGCAAACTTGGGTGAGGTAATTGCCCTGTCTAAACCTCATGTTCCTTATCTCTACATGGGAATAATAACACCCACCTTGCATTGTAGCAAACATCAGAACCAGTGTCTGAAACTAACTGGTGCCTGGTAAACCATAGATGCTTTCATTATTATTGCTACTATAGTCGCTGATTTTTTTTCTTTGAATTTAATACAACTTACCAAACCATCATTCCAAATAATAATCTCACCATGGAACACTGTGAGATTTTTAAGGTCAATAACACAGTGTCCAACCCAAGACTGAGACAATGCAGCCTGTAATAGGAAGTGAACAGACTAGTAATGGCAGAAACAGGAGAATGGGGTTTCTCCCCAATCTGCTCTTACTGTGTGATGTTAATTCTTTAATCGTTTTGCTTTTTGAGCTTTAAGAAAAGAGACTCTATTGCCTGACATTTTCTACCTCCCAGGGATAGGAAGGAGACAGACATTATGTTAAAGGTGTTTTGCATTCTTGAGGAAGAGAAGATTAAGTTCAAGATGCTATTAGACAGAAGCTGTCATGGAAAATTTTAAAAACTCTGTGCCACCTGGACTGCTTTGATCTTCTCTCCCTGAAACAGAGTGCACATCTATGTACTCGATCTGGATCTATTCATTATATCAGAACTTTTCAGAGGGAAGCATGACTTGGTAAGATAGGATTTCACTCTGGATCACTCTTTTAGTTTTTCCAGTATCCTGTGAGGGAATTATAGGAGGAAAAGAAGTGCCACCTCACACAAGACGCTACATGGCTCTAATCGAAGGGCTGAAAGTCTGTGCAGGAGCTTTGATCAAAGAAAACTGGGTGTTGACAGCTGCTCACTGTGACCTGTAAGTAATTCTGAGCTCCTCTCATTCTCAGGCAGTTTGGGAGGTGGGGGGGTGGGGACAGGGGCTGTGAAAATGAAGTCCAAAACCAAAATTAGGTAGGGATGGAGAAGAAAGTACGCAAGCACATTCACTGAGATGTACTATTATTAAGTTTATCTCTATAAGCAAAGGCCAGATCCTATAGAATAAAATTGAAATACATGACCATTTTCTCATATTATTTAAAATTTTTTTCACTATAAATACCAATATTATCAACATTTTGAAAAACAAAATGGTGAGAAATAGCACTCATAATCTTATCAACTTCACACAATCACTGTTAATATTTTGCTATATTTTGTTGCAGGCTTTTTCCATAAGTATATTTTATACAGTTGAGCAAGTTAAGTGTTCTCTATGATTACAAGCAATTTACTTACTGTTATGTAATTAGTTTTGTCCCATGTTGCTACATATTAGATTGAACCATAAGAAATTACTGATATTTAACTGTTTGACTTTACAAAATAGCCATTTCCTATGGTTCAAACTAATGTTTTTCCTAATTGTGATTTGAAAGTCAAAATAACGTTTATCACAAGGATATGCTACTGTTTTCTTTATCAGTATCTGTTGTTGGTACCTACTATTTCCCTGCTCACTTTTGCATAAATTGCATGAATAAAAGAAGAGACTTAAAAACTAGCTTCCCACAAAGAAGATCAAAAGAGATCCGCATTACGTTGTTGTATCAAATGAGAATTTATCAAGTAGGAAATTCAGCACAATGTACACTGTGAAGATCACCACTGGCACTCTTGATTAACAGACCCACTTGGTGCAAAGTCTGTCCGGCAAATCAAGAAATGCTTGTGCTCCCCTCTCCCAGATTAGCTATCATTAGGTTCACAAACTAGACTTGGCGGCTAGCAGTTTATTTGCTCCTGTGTGTGTGTGTGTGTGTGTGTTTAGATTCAGCTTTAAAATTTCACTGTAAAGTCTATTCATTTCTTCAGTCTTACCTATTAAAAGCCTGACTCTTTTCCATCTTTGTCATCTTTCTTTTTTTTCTTTTGCGGTACACGGGCCTCTCACTGTTGTGGCCTCTCCCGTTGCAGAGCACAGGCTCTGGACGCGCAGGCTCAGCGGCCATGGCTCACGGGCCCAGCCGCTCCGGCATGTGGGATCTTCCCGGACCGGGGCACAAACCCATGCCCCCTGCAAAGGCAGGTGGACTCTCAACCACTGCGCCACCAGGGGAGCCCCATCTTTGTCATCTTTGAAGACTTAAGCAAGGTACACGGTCGCCCTGAAACACAGAAAAGCAAACCCACTACCTCTGCTTTCACTCTTAGGTTTAGTCTCTAGTTCTTGGGTTGAGTCTCTTCCATTAGGTGTTGATTCCACAAATCCAAGGCAGATGGAGAAACTGGCAGCTCCTCTTCCTGCAGCAGTCCTCTTTGGTCAGCACCCAAGCATACCTCTCCAGGCCTTGCCAACCAACGCTCTTGCCTCTGCCAGAAGACCTGGGATTTCTCTCCTGTTGCTTCTTCCTTGAAAAGATGTGAAGCTGCAGCACCTAAGATAACACATGTCTTGGGAGTTTTAGGTAAAAATAACTAAAACAGGGCTTCCCTGGTGGCGCAGTGGTTGAGAGTCTGCCTGCCGATGCAGGGAACACGGGTTCGTGCCCCGGTCCGGGAGGGTCCCACATGCCGCGGAGAAGCTGGGCCCGTGAGCCATGGCCGCTGAGCCTGTGCGTCTGGAGCCTGTGCTCTGCAACAGGAGAGGCCACAACAGTGAGAGGCCCATGTACTGCAAAATAAATAAATAAATAAATAATAAAACATCAAAAGAAAAAACCTCATAAATTCCCCCCTGCCTTGCTGTGCTTGTTTATAAATAGGAAACCATCTGAAATAACTGGTCAGATTTAATAAATTAAGTTCATGTTTAATTTCATCTATTCTCTCACATAAATGATACATCGTCCTTATTTTTTTCCAGGAAAGGCAATCCTCGAGTTATTCTTGGGGCCCACTCTACCTCCCATAAAGAGAAATATGACCAAGTATTTTCCATTAAAAAGGCAATTCCCCATCCATGCTTCAATCCACAGACATTTGAAGGGGATCTTCAACTCCTTCAGGTAAATATGGGGGTTTTTTTCAATAACAATTTTGAAATTGCAAAATTTTGAAATTTGGTCAGTTTAACCTGAAACTAGTTTTTACACACTGGCCTCATAGCCAGTGGTTGGCTAATGCTAGGATGTAAGGGTAAGAAGTATAGCTGGGACCCAGCGCAATTGTACAGATGTTCACCCTCTTGGAATTCAGTTCAATTTAACAGATATTGACAGAAGTCCTACTGTGGTAAGACCTGTCAATCCAAAGTGGTAATGCCACCAGCAACTCAACTGCAGACAAACCAAGTTGCATTTATTGATTCTTGCTCAGCAAGGGAGACTGTACACCATGAGGAACCGTAGGGTGGCTCAGTAAGAGAGTGTTAGATGGGGCTTATCCTAGGATTTTTCAGATGTGGGGGAGGGTTCTAGGAAGTAGGAGTTTGCTCTGAACTGACTGTTGTCAGGACGTGGGGTAATTCTATGACTGAGTATCTCAGTGAATCTTACTTATCTAGGAGGCTAAATCTGTGATTGATAAGAAGCAGCAATCACTCATTTTATCCGATAGGGGGCGCTTGGTCATTTTTGTGGTGGGCACAATGACCTTGCTTTTGCCTCTACTCAAACGTGACTGCAGAGCGGCCTGGGTTTTGCTCCCTTCTTGAGGCTCACCCTGTCTGATATTGGTGCTCTATGACGAGTGTTCCTGATCAACAGGAAAAATCGTGGCCCAGCTCTGAGTGCCAGTAAGCTTTTCTCTTCCTCATAAGATAAATAGGTTCTGTTCTCAAAGTGTTCACAGTCTAGTCTCTAGTGTTCACAGCTCTGATCTGGTGGTATGTGACTCATCGGTGATGGAGATGACTAAGAAGGGGACTCTGCGGGAGCACATGGTGTGTCCAGGCAGTCAGGGAAGCTTTCTTAGAGAAGGTGCAGGAGTTAGTAGGAAGGAAGGAGGGAAGGGCCTTTCAGGCAGGAAGAGCAGTGTGCATAAGAGGAGTCTTTCTGGAAAATGCATCTGGAAGATGAAGGGAAGAAAGGGAAGTTATCATGAGATTTGAGAAAGAGGGGACCCAGATATTGTGAACCATGGGGAGAAGTTTGAACTTTATGGGGAAGGAAATGGGAAAGTGTTTTAAGCTGGGCAGTGACATGATCAGACTTGTTTTTAGAAGGATTATCTGGCTGCTGTGCAGAAAGTATAATAGAAAAGGCAGAATTGGAAGGCAGTGTGAGCTGAGGTTCGCACCTGTGCAAAGGGGCTTGATGAGGAACTTCCCTAGCAGGAGTCAAGAGGATGCTCGGGGGATACACACACCCTCATCAGTAGGAGTAAAGAGAGGGTCCTAGAGTGCCATGTGTTTCCGGCAAACTCCCCACATTCCCTGCTCCCCAGTACTTATCAGAGACCCCCATACTATCTGCCTTGAGACTCTCAGGGTGGGCCTCTCTCTCAGGTCACCCCTCCTCACCCTACTCTAATTCCCTCCAGTCCCCCTCCCTGGGCAGGGAAAGGCAATTCCCACCCCTGCCCAGTAGAGGGCACTCCTTGGCTTACTTCCCTCCTGCGGTTTTTCTCCACAGCCCGCACTTTTTTTTTTTTTAACATCTTTATTGGAGTATAATTGCTTTACAATGGTGTGTTAGTTTCTGCTTTATAACAAAGGGAATCAGTTATACATATACATATGTTCCCATATCTCTTCCCTCTTGCGTCTCCCTCCCTCCCACCCTCCCTATCCTACCCCTCCAGGCGGTCACAAAGCACAAAGCACCGAGCTGATCTCCCTGTGCTATGCGGCTGCTTCCCACTAGCTATCTATTTTATGTTTGGTAGTGTATATATGTCCATGCCACTCTCTCACTTTGTCACAGCTTACCCTTCCCTCTCCCCATATCCTCAAGTCCATTCTCTAGTAGGTCTGTGTCTTTCTTCCTGTCTTACCCCTAGGTTCTTCATGACATTTTTTTTCTTAGATTCCATATATATGTGTTAGCATACGGTATTTGTCTTTCTCTTTCTGACTTACTTCACTCTGTATGACAGACTCTAGGTCCATCCACCTCACAACAAATAACTCAATTTCCTTTCTTTTTACGGCTGAGTAATATTCCATTGTATATATGTGCCACATCTTCTTTATCCATTCATCCAATGATGGACAACATGCACTTCTGATGTACCTTAGTTTGTTTGTCTGCCCCCCTCCCTGGAATGTAAGCTTCAAAGAACAGATATTTTTGTCTTTTTATTTGTATGCCCTGTACCAGGTAGTATAGCTCCTAGTACATAGTAGGCCCTCCATAAATATTTCCTGAATAATTTTGGATACGGGATGGAATTAAGCCAGACAGTGGCAAAGGTCATCAAGAGAAGAGATTCTGCGCTCAGGTTTCAAGAAAGTGGTAGCAGTTGTCAAGTCTCCTTCAGGAACTAAAAATCTTACCTTTACAATAGTGTGGGGTGAGTAGGGGGTGCGAGGGGTTCTTGGTCTTGAAGTAAAGTCAGGAAACTCCCTCTCACCTCTGACACTGTGGCCAGTGGGGTGATGTTGCTAGAGAACTCATGAAGAGGGCATCGGGACCTCCCTGCAGTCAACCCTCCATGGTTAAAACCTACCGATGTGCTCATCACTGCTGTGTGTGCCTGACCCCAGGAGAGCTACTTACAAACATATGCATCCCGACTCCAATTCTGATCCATTCAGTCAGACCTGAAGTCCCTTCTGGGGGTTCTCCTGTCTCCTTGTCCATCCAACCAGATAACAAGCATGAAGGCTGTGAGAAAGCATGAGTAGGAGAGGAGAGATGTTGCATGTAGGCATTTGAAGTCATGTTCTATGGAGAGATTTTAGACTATGGCCATCTCACTTTCTAAATGCTAGCAGGGTAAGGGTTGGGCACACCAGCAACTCAGAGTGGGCACTGAGGAAGTGGGGACTGTCTAATGTCAGAAAGTGGGTCCTGAATGCAGTGCAATGATAGGAATGTGACAGTGGCCTTTGCTGCTGTGCTCCTATGTTTTTAGAAGGTCTGTAACACCAGGACTCCCTACAGCTTGAGGCAAGAAGAAAAGAAAGAAGTAGAATTATCTTCCTCTCCCCTCTACTCAACCTTGATCACACTCCCTACTCTCCTTGCCTTGACTTTTTAGAAAGAGAGAAAGCAAGGTGGTGAGCCAAGAAGAGAGCTTAGTGAATCAAAGAAAGGGGCAGAGTGTGGGGGAGCCCCCAAAGGCAGTTAGGTTGGTTAGCACCTGCTCTGAAGCGGGGAAGCCACATTTCCACGTGGAAAATGAGGACACTGGCCCATTTCCCACCCCACCCCACTGCACCTGGAGCCCTGGCTTCCTTCCATTGGTCTCAGTACCAGTCAGTTCACAAACCTAAGACCACCTGAATAAAATAATGATTGCAGTCTCCAATACAGCTTTTCAACCACAGAACTGTCAGCCACCACCAACGTAATTTCATCACTGACAGGTCAACTGGACTGAAGTTTATCTAGACTAGCCTAGAAAAACATGCATGAAAAGGTGTGCTGTGACTTTTAAAAAAATCTATAACTGATGGTCAATTAGGTTGGAACAGGACTTTGGCCATGTCCTTCGTAAGAACATGCTAAATAAGCAAGATATCTATTTCAGTCAGAGCTGTTTTCTGGGTTTGGTTACTGTTGTCCTTCCCTAAAACTGCATCTCCTGTCTCTTTTCTAGCTGGATGGTAAAGCAACTATGACCAAAGCTGTAGGAATACTTCAGCTACCAAAAACAGGAGACGATGTCAAACCCCACACCAAGTGTCATGTGGCAGGATGGGGAAGCACCAAAAAAGACATGTGCAAAATTTCAAGTGCCTTGAGAGAAGCCAACATTACTGTGATAGATAGGAAAATATGCAATGATGCCCAGCACTATAATTTTAATCCAGTTATTGATCTCAGTATGATCTGTGCTGGTGGTAGAAAAGGTGAAGATGATTCATGTGAAGTAAGTAAATTAAAAATTTTAACCGTTTGGGGGCTATAGGAAATCAGGTTAAATAGAGTGCCTAGGAACAAGACGGCGGACTGTCATTATTACTTTTTATGTGTGAGGCCTGCAAGAACGTCAGCTTGACACTGGGCTGGTGTGTGCTCCTTTGTCTCGAGTGAAACATTCTGCCCAGGGAAACTTCTCTCGTTCCTAGTAATCAGGATCCCATTTAACCACCACTTATGGATACTGTTCAGCCCTCTCAAAACTGATCACATCAGCTGGCATTTATCAGATGGCAGGAACTATATCAAGTCCTATACTCTATGCCACTTGATCCTCAAATAGCCCCATGGGATAGACACTATTATTACCAACTCTATTTTACAGATAGGGAAATTAAGGCTTAGAAAGTTACTTCCCCAAGTTAGATAACTCGGCTCTCAGTGGGGTGGACCTGGACTTAGACTGGGGCCATCTGATTCCCAACTCCTGCATTGTTCTGCCTCTCCATGTGCTTGACTGTGGTTTGGCCCTATTTGGAACTCATGATCCAGAAGTGGTTTGCAAGATCAGAGAGAATATGAAATGAGGGTTGATGAAAACTGGAAAAATTGTTTGAACTATCACAAGTACTCCTTGGTCTGAGACGGCTTAACCCATGTCCTCCTTCAGAGCAGGGAGTGGCTCAGATCCCATCTCATGCCTTCAGGCAGAGCCTACATTCAGTTTTTTCCCCTAACATCTACTGACCAAGAAAAGGGGATACAGGTCAACTGAAGGAGACAATTATTTTTCACAATTATTTTAAAGGCTTCCTTTGTTATTCTCTCTTCGTTTTACTGATGAAAATGAGTTTGTACATCTTCTCCAGAATTGCCTTTTGCAAAATGAAAATGATCGGAAAATATAAACAAATCTGTGTTAATTGATGCTGAGGGTGGACAATTAATAAAAAGAGATATAAAATTAGCCTTTAAAAAGGAAAGAGAGAAACAATGTGTGAGCGAATGAGTGAATAAATGAACGACTAAAAAGGTAAGTAAATATCTTTGGAAAGCACTCCTGTTTAAAACATATGACTTTCTTTTCCAGGGGGATTCTGGAAGTCCTCTGATATGTGATAACGTTTTCAGAGGTGTCAGTTCCTTTGGGAAGTGTGGTAACCCCCAGAAGCCTGGCATCTACATTCTCCTTACCAAAAAATACCTCAACTGGATAAAGAAAACCATTGCAGGAGCAATATAATATTTCTTCTTCAAAGTAGAAAATTGAGGTAACCAAGTAAAGGGTGTTTTAACTTGACCTATCTGAAGAAACACCTCACAACCCTCTTAACCTTGTGTACAAATGACAGCCTGTCTGAAATAAAATTAGCAATGAAAGAAATAACCTCCTGCCTTCACTCTTCCACGATTAGTGAAGACTGATTCATCACATGTTCTCTATCCATGGCAAGAGATGTCCCTTGAGAAAAAGTTCCCCAGTTCAGTGATTCTCTGTTTTATTCAGAATTTGAGGACTGTCACTTTTGTGTTCATCCTTAAAAGGAAGTCAATCTCGGGGAAATTTAGAATATTCTTCTTTCTTCCAAATGAAACTCCAAAATATTTGTGGCCTTAGGAATTTAGAGCCTGATATTCTATTCCATGTTGGAATAAGGACAGAGATAAAGAGGGATTTTTCACTTCCTATTCTATGCTTCTGTATAGTTTAACTTTTTACAAAAATTCTAATTATAAATACAGTGGGAAAGATGCAATGTGTGTTTTAGATAGTTGGAAAATTTGGAATTTGAGGTTAGAGATAGTTCAGGGCAATTGCATCATTTATTAATTACAAGTAGACTAAAATTTCATAGACCAATAGGCCACAGTCCAGCCAGTATCTTGATATGTATTTTGCCTTAGCTAATCAATTTATACATGCAAGCACTAAGCTTCATTCTATGTTATTCATTTTTGGGGGGAGTATAATTGCTTTACAATGTTGTGTTAGTTTCTGCTGTACAACAAAGTGAATCAGCTGTATGTATACATATATCCCCTCCTTCTTGAGCCTCCCTCCCACCACCCGCATCCCACCCCTCTCGGTCATCACAGAGCGCCAAGCTGAGCTCCCTGTGCTATGAGGCTGCTTCCCACTAGCTATCTATTTTACACATGGCAGGGTATATATGTCCATGCCACTCTCTCACTTTGTCCCAGCTTACCCTTCCCCACTATGTCCACATGTCCATTCTCTACGTCTGCGTCTAGTTCTATGTTATTCTTAATAGACTGTGATATGTAATAAAGGAAAGTGGCTTTTTTTATCACCTACCATTTGTATCTCATCTTTTTGTTGTGTTTTTCTCCAAAGAGTTGATTTATAATAAACTCATTCTCTAATAATCCTGGGTGATTTATCCAATTTAATTCCTCAGACATTTCCTGAGGGCCCACCATGTACCAGGCATTACGTCCAGATTTATAAATACTGAGACATGACCACTGTCCTCAAAATATTTGAAGTCTAGTAGAAAACAAGGAGAAATCCATAAATAAGAAGACATCTGCTTCAGGTTCTGAAGAATACATAACAGAGTAAGGCTGTCTACTGTGTTGGGAAGGTGATGGGGGAAAAGATAAATAATATTTTACACTCCCAGCAGACCTCACAATTAGCCCTCAGAGCCTTC